TTTGAAGAGTTTTACCGTCCAGGGTCAGGCTGTCCTGCTCCTTTGGCTGTTTGGCCGCATTAGCCGCCTCCTCTTCAGGCATCTCCACGTCCTGCGGCTCTGGGCCCACCTCCTTCGGCTCCTTTGGCTTCTCTGCCTTCGAGTCCCGGTCCCGGCCTCCCGCCTTGTCGCGTCGTTTGGCCGCGGTCTCCTTCATGCTGTGTCTGGGTGGATGAAACCGAACCGAGCTGAACCACAATGACTGGACACTATTCTGTGGCGCAGAGGATTCTGGGATATGACAGGCAGAAGCAGAAGAGAGCGGAAACAGCAGCGCAGGCTCGATAATCGATCACAGATGTGTGTGTGTGTGTGTGTGTGTGTGTGTGTGTGTGTGTGTGTGTGTGTGTTCCTGTCTAGCTATCTTTGTGAGGACCGAAATCTGTCACTTGTGAGTCACACACTCACCGGTCCTCACAAGTTTGAGACCTTTTTGAGGCTGGGTTACAATTAGGTTATGGTTAGGTTTAGGGTCAGGGTTAGGCATTCATTTTTAATGGTTAGGATTAGGCTAAGGGGCTAGGGAAGGCATTATGTCAATGAAGGTCCTCACTAAGATAGCTGAACGGGTGTGTGTGTGTGTGTGTGTGTGTGTGTGTGTGTGAGATGTGTTTTAGTGCGTTGCATTGATCCGCGGATTTCTGACATATGAAAGTCTGACCCTGCAGGGATCCATAGACTGTGCCGAACACACTGTGATTTCTGATGTTATTTGAATATGAAGTGGCGAACATAACGATGGTGTCTCTGTAACTTTAGAGTCAGAATAATGAAGTCAGAATAAGAGTAAAGACATGAACTCAGCAGAACAAATGGTTTATTTCACGCGTGGAGTCAGAATGACGGCTGAGCTCACTGAACACAGAGGACACAGTTCAAACAAACAGGGCTGATGGAGAGCCAGGGAACAGTTCTCAGAATCACACGTACCGTCTCAAACATCTTCAAGAAAACAAAATGCAGTGTTGGGAAGGTTACTTTTAAAATGTATTCCACTACAGATTACAAGTATTTTGTAACATATTCTGAATACTTTGGATTACTTAATATATTATCATGCT